GCTGGATCAGATCCAGGCGATGCCTCAGCTCTGGGTGCCCGGGTAGCGGCCCTGGAGGCAATTTGTTCACGGCGCTTGGGGGCTGGGGGTGGGGGGGGTTGGGGTTGGGGGGTGTGAAAGGTGGGGGTTCAGTGTGTTGGTTTCCTTTTAAAAGCAGCTTGGCAGTTTTACCAGATACCTTGGCCACGCGTAAAGGAAACCGAGCTGTAGGTCTTGAAGCATGCTCTTTGGGGCCTTTCAACAGAAAAACCCAAAGGGAACCACAATCAATAGATGAAGGTTGGTAATGGCCAATCCCAGCCAGAATTAGGTGCGGCCGCGTTTATAGTTCTTGCATTGGTTTGCATAAGCCATTTAATACAAGGTTTTGATTGTGACTTTTTCTCCAACAGCTGAAAGCTTTGGGGTCTCAGCCCAGATGGGCTCCGGCGTGGTCCGGGGCGGCCCTGAGGTAAGGTTCCACGAGGGTTCCATCAAGGTTTTACCAGGGTTGCACCAGGGTTTCAAGGGTTCCACTAGGGTTCCACCGAGGTTCTGCGAGGCTAAAAAGAGCTGTTGGGGATATCACCTGAGCTTATTTATTTCCGAGGCTTCGCGCTTGGGGACTGGGCAAATGTAACTACGCCCCGCCCGTTCGCCAGGCCCTGGTGGAGCCAGCGAAGCTAGGCGCGGGGTATGCCAGAGCTCGTAAGTGGCCAAGTCTGCAGGAAAGCCAAACAAAATGTCCAGTGTGTAACTGTGTGTGTGTGTGTCTGCACTTGCGCGGGGCAAAGATCAAGAACATGAAGGGCCAACGGACCCTGCCACAATGGCTTTCTCGTGTGTGTGTGTGTGTGTTTGTTGTGTGTGTGTGCGTTTTCTTTAAGCTTCCACATTGACATGTTTTAACCAATTTGAGACGCCAGACTGTCCAAGTATTCGGGTGTTCGCGTTCTCTCTGTGTGTGTCTCTGTGTTTGTGTGCCTGTTTCCAATCTGTGCCTCTGTGTGCGCTTCTCTCTGTCTCTGTGTCTGTGTGTCTCTCTTTGTCTCAGGGTGTCTCTTTGTGTCTGTCTCTGTGTCTGTGTTTGCGTGTGAAAAGGCGCAAGCGGATTCAAGGACCCTTCAGAATCAGTACAATTTCTCCATCCGAGGGTCGACCTTCTGCGGTTGGCCGGGGGGGTATGACCTTTCCGGTTTCCGTTGATGAACTTTCCTTTAGCTGGCCTTGCCCTAGATCAAAGAACTCGTTTGACCAGCTCCCGAAACCCTCATGAAAAGGGTTAGTTGAGGGGCTCTACTAACGAGGCCTCGTGAAAGCTAAAACCCAGGGCACGATAGCCCGAGTAAGCTTGCGGCGAGAGTGGTTGAAGAAGAGCTCGCGGCGAAAGCGTCGCGAAAGTGCATATTAAGTTTCTGTGTGGTCAGCAGTCAGCAGATTTCGGCGCCCATTTCGGGCTGGCGAGGGCATTGTGGACAGCGTCAAGTTCCCTCTTTCCTAGGTCTTCGCAGCCTATTCCATGTAGATGGCCCGGTCAAGCAAACCCACCGCGTAAGCGATCCTGAAACATCACGTGCCCGCGAAAGTGCGTGTGGCATCGCGAAAGTATCGCGGAAGGTTCCGCGAATGTGGTTTCAGTGCAGGGTTCGTACCCGGATTGCGGAACTCATTTGTTTGTAAACCCACTTCGGACTCATAGCGTCGTTCCGAGGCCTTGCCAAAGGGGCCTTTTGGTTGAACACGAGGTTAGCAAAATGTCGTCCGAATGCTTTGGGGCAGGGTCCACAGTTCAGATACACTTGGGTCAGGGTCCACAAATTTTTCGCGTGCCGATTGTTGACAGCTTGACCTTGTGTCGAAATGGGATGTTGAACCTCTAAAATGTGACTTTGCCTTCCTTCCGACTGCCCTTTCAAACGCCCTCCCCCGCCAAACAAAAAGATTTCGCCCCAAGGAAAACGACACTCAGGTGTCTCGTGAGGGAATATCTTCTTCAATCTCTGCCCCCGAATGCTCAGGGCTCCGGGAATGGCTCGGTGTCGGCAGGCGACGATGCGGCCCTGGCGACCCTCGGCTCCGCACTGGGGGAGCGCTTCGCTTCGGCTCGTGCTGCGGAAGTAGGTAGGGCACCATGCACTGCCTGGGTATTGCCTTGATAACAAATATATGGGGCATATTCCCTTTTTGTACCTATTGTATTTAGGCACACTTCTGGGGTGCATGGTTGGGACCGTGGAATTTGCGACCAATTCAATTCGGGCCGACTGGAATGGTGTCCAATTGTTTGCTTTTGTTCAGGTGGCTGGTTTTAGTTGTGATGGCCCGTTATTCTGGGGGATGCCTGTTAAAGAGGTGGTAGCCCTTCCCAAAAATCTCCAGTGGGGGTGTGCGTCTTGCGAACTCAAGCCGAAAGTCTTTTCGCGATTCCAGTGCGATTGATGCTGTCTACTGGTGATGCCAGTTTGCATACTCGAGTCCCGAGAACACTACACTAACAAAGGTTGCCAAAAGGCCCCAAAGCAACACCCAAAAGCAATACCCAAGCAGAATGCCCAATAGCAATGCCCAAAAGCAATACCCAATGCCCCCAACACACACACACACACACACATGGGGCAGGGGCCCTGCCCATGACGTGCCACGCCACCTGCGCAGCCTGCGCCAGGACTGGCACGCCTCAGTTCGTGGCCAGGCCCTGGATGGCCTTGCGGAGGCAGAGCGCAGGGCAAAAGGGGAGAGGAACATCACGTGCAGCCAACACTTTATCGCTATTTGGGAAGGGGTCTTTCAGTCGGTGACAAGAACTTCTACAGGAAGCGCTGTGTTTCCGCCTGAGAAGATCACGTTGAAGCTGGCCGCCGAGCTAATAGCTCAACCAAATTACTTTCGGATTCCTAGGCCTTACTCTGTACATTTGGAAGCTTTAACAGACGTGAATACGTCACCCAAAAAGACAAGCAATTCGGTCAAAAGGTCAGCAAAGCAGCAGTAGAGGGGTGGGGAGGGAGGGTCGTGTTTAAGGAAGCTTTTTAGTAATTTGGTCCATCAATATTGTCAAAAGCCCGGCCTGAATGCCCCCTGGTGTTTGTTGCCATTTGAGTCAGAAAGCTCGCTGTCACTGCATGGGGGCCGCACAGTTGCAAAGGTGCAGTTGCAACCAGTGGTTCATGTTTAGAACCCGCCAAAAGAAGGGAGGCCCTGTTTCCCACAGCAACTGGACGGGACATGTGAAGCTTTGAGGATGGCGAGATGGGGCCCGATGAGCGAAGAAAGGTGGCATGCCTTACCAAAAGTGGATTTTACCAGCCAGGTCCGACCTTAGTTTGAACACGGTGAACTGTCCCCCGTTTCTCTGTCAAGTCTTGCCCGGGTTCTGGCAACCATTGCTGTGGAATCCTGAGGACCGGCACATGGTCACCTTCATGATACAACTGGGGGCATTGAGGGCTAACTCGTGTTGGGGGCGTTTGGGTCATGCTCACAGGCACCTGCCAGTCAAGAGCGAGCGCACTTTTGCGAGGGGCTGGCAGACCATGTGGTCATTCTGGGTTTATTAATGTGACATCCTCAATTTTACGCTCATTTTGCTTTATTACAGGGATCCCCTCAAAACGCTCATTTGCTTGATGCTGCTCCTGCCGCACCCTGCATTTGATCTTTTCTGACCTTGAATGCATTGGGAAGCCAACTCATATACAAGGCTATTGGACAGGCAAGTTGGCGTCAAGAGAAAGTTCCTTCCCCAAGCCATCAGACAGAAGCGCCTTCGCGCTTGCCTTCGCTTTTCGCATTGTGCTCAATAATTGTCAGCTGTGAGTTGTGAGTCCACTGGGCAACCGCGCGCAGCTGCAATTTCTCCCCGCAACTTTTGGATCGCTCTGCCGGCTCCAGGCCACATGGGCACATGAGCTTGGCGGAATCCAGCCAGCAAACCGAGGTTTATCCCTCTGCTGGCGTACGCTTGCAGCCCTGCCTTGGGTTTTTTCTGCATGTCGGCTTTGGGACCTTCAAGAAGTGTAGTTTGAAAGGAAACCGTTGCAAATGGGTGTGTCTGTTTCTAGGCCCCCTCCAAGAAAAAAAGAAGAAACATAAAGAACGGTTGTAGTTTACCTGTTGGTTTCTTTCGCTCTAAAGTCACCAAAAAACGAGTACCCCTAAAGGGTGACACCTCCAAGTCCATCAATTTCAGGTCGCACATTTGGATGGGTGACCTTTACATGGCAAACATCTGCAACAGTGTTTGCTGTATCGTGGTGAATCAGGACGTGCACGCCGTCCTGTGTCCCAAAATGGGGGCTAAAATGGGTTGTTTGCCAATAGTGCCAGGCCACGATTCTTCCTTTGCCACCCAAAGTATACAACAAGGATACTACCTGGAGCGTCCTTCCTTACCTAGATTTCTGCCCTGAGCCAAAAAAAGGCAAACATGCCCGGTGCTTCACTAGGTCCCCCAGTAGTGCCCTTTCACCCTTTTTGGGGGAGAGGGTTCTCCTACTAGAAGAGTCTGCATAAAACATCGGGCACCGTTATTCTAACCTCTCTTCTGGAGGACCTAGTTCAGGTATTAGAATCGTTGTGCTACGAGGTTAAGGTTTGTTCATGGCGGTGGCTTCCACTCCAAGGCCTTTTGGACTGCCTTCAATTTTGCAGCAGTCCCCCAAGGCACCAAGGAGTGCGGATGGAAGCAGATACCAGGTGTTTCGGGAAGTGACTTTGTATTCCTGGGACACGAAAAGGAAGGAAAGGTTTGTTCCCCGTTTTAAAAATTCCAAGAATAGTTGTTTTTTGGCAAGTTGGATTGGAAGTCCAACCCGCCAATTTCAAAACACCAGAAAGACCCACGATTTTCTTTGGTTCGTGCGCATTTCGCGTAGGCATCCTGCGGATCCGGGTTGCCCAAACGTTTCAGGGCCAACCTGAACGTCATCCCTAAACCGGGGGCCCTTCTTTGGGACGCGTTTTGGGCGCTGAAACGCGGCCGTCGTGGGCCATGGCGCCCATTTCACGTGATGACCGCCGCGATGGCCGCGCTGGCGGAGCCCTCGCGGGCGGCGATGGCAGAGCTCAAGAGCCTGGCGAGGCCGGGGGAGCGAGCCCAGAACCAACGTCACCCCTCCCCGCCTTTTTCATTGGCAAGCGGTTTAGCCACCCGTTCCGAACCGGCGCTCAAGAAGCGGATTAGCTCTGATTGATCCCTTGGGTCCGAGATTTGCAAGATGAGGTTGCTTCTTGGCATAGTGGTTCTTCTTTTTCTGTTTTTTTTTTTGGGGGGGGGGTCTAAAATTACATTTTTGTTTCGCTGGCATAGTCCACACAAACAACTGACTGGTAGCAAGGCAGTGGGGGAAGGCTTTAGAAGCAGGAATGGAAAGGATGACTTGCAAGCCATAACGGGAATCTGCTCCATTCTGACTCTTGCTTGGTCCCTCTTCAGGGTTCTACGTATGTTTGTTGTCTTGCTTGGGCTGCTTGGTTCTGTTCAATTTAATTTGGGTGCTGCAAAGGACTTGTTTGTTTTGTGGGGGGAGGGGGTATATTCATACATTATATATATATATATATCATGGTTTTCCATCTCGGAGGTAGCTGTTGTTCAAGACGCTTGCAAATTATCATCCCTTCAAAGCAAGGGGGTGATTTCTCCTTTTGAACCATCACGCTTGGCCAAGTCTCCCCCGCCTTCACTTTCCAACAGGCATGGGGGAATTGTGCCCCCTAAATTGCCCCTGGTGATTTGTTTTTCCACATGGTGCTGAAAGGAGACCATTGCCATTAGCGGGGCGGGCGTTGTTTGCTGCAAAGTGGCCATTTAGTTGTGGTCCTTGAAGGCTGTTGCTCCCTATGTATCATCTTGAGAACTCTGTACGGAATTTGGCCATGTACTTTTACCTCGATGCAATGATGCAGATGCATATCTTCCTTTTTTGTTTTAGCAATCAGCGGCACAAACATAAGAACACAATGGTTGATTTGCGAGAGTCACATGTTCGCAAATTCGTGTCCCTTCCCAACAGAAAGGGACTTGTGCCATCTAATTCTTTTCGAGCTGGTGTAGTGAGATGTTCCGGATTTCTGGTGTAGTTGCGAAAAAGGTAAGTACCAGGATAAAAGTAGATGTTGGTCCCTGCGTCCCCTCACTCAAATGTAAAGGGAATTGCCCGTTTCTCTGGCAGCTTGGGCAAGAGTACCCTCCATTTCTGTGTCTGACTCCCTGAGTTCATGAGCAACTGCTGGGAAGACCATTTCAGTGGCAAACGAAAGGTTTGAGACTTTTTCCAGTCCTCACTTAAATGGAAGTTCCCCCCCCCCCCCACAAAAAATAAGACTAAAACTAATAAAACATAACATGAAACTGGGACCTCTCAACTTTTGGTCTTCGCTTGCCAAGTGCGAGGGCCCAAGAGCTCTCTGACGAGGGGGGGGTGAGGCGCGGCCGGGCGGAGGAGGCCCAGCAGCCGGGGGCCCCAGAGCCGGTGGGCCTGGGCCCGGCGGCCTCGGCGGATGGCGGATGGACGTTTGGACCTTTTTGGGGTTTTTCCCTCCGTGGTGAGTCATGGCCCCACAAAGGTTAAGGCTTTGTTTCTCACTTTTTGGGTTTCCTCCATGGTGAGTCATAGCTCAAGCCTTTGTGCTCTTGGTGGCAACCAAGTGGGTCAGCTGACTGCTTGGTGGCGCCTTCTCGGGCAGAGAGCCTCAGGCTTTTGCACGGCATGCGGGCAGCGCAGCTGCAGCCGGACAGGCCGACGCCGGGGACGCCTTTGTTTGGTGAGTTTCTTCGGCTTGTTTTTTTGTTTTGTGCTACGTGTGGTGCGTGTGTGTGTGTGTGTGTGTGTGTGTGCGTGTGTGTGTGTGTGTGTGTGTGGGGGTGGGTGGGTGGGGGTGGGTGGGCGGGCGGCGGCGGGGCGGCGGGCGGCGGCGGGCGGCGGGCGGGCGGGCGGGCGGGCGGGCGGGCGGGCGGGTGGATGGGTGGGTGGGTGGGTGGGTGGGTGGGTGTGTGTGTGTGTGATTGCTTGAGTGCACCCTTTGTTGTTCTGGTTTGACGGGTCTTTCGAAGATGAAAGCTACAATTTATGGGGTCGCCAAGCGGCGCATTTGTGGGTAGAAGCTTGTGGTGTTGCATGTGTTGTTTGTTGTCTTGTTGGTTTAGGTTGGCTTGTTACTTTGCTTGATGTGGGTTGATGCGGCGCGTTGGTTTGTGTATTTGTTTGTCCGTCTGCCTGTCTGTCTGTCCATCTGTGTATGTGTTTGGTAGTTTGTGATGGTGTTTCAAGTTGGTGTATTATATTTTTCCATGTGTTGGTGTTGTTTGTTTGGTGTTGCTTTGTCTTGTGTTGTTTGCATTTGGTGCGATTGGGCGAGTGTCTTGTGCTTTTTATTGCTGTGTATTGTGTGCGTAGTTTCATGTTAGTTGTTGGTTGTGATTGTTGCTTGTGTGTGCTTTGCGTTGTGTAGATGTGTTCTGACTATTGGATTTGCTTTTATGTGTGTGTTTGTTGTTTTATTTGTCTGTGTGCTTTTTCTCTGTGAGCCTGCCGGCCGGCCTGTCTGTCTGTCTGTCTGTCTGTCTGTCTGCCTGTCGGTTTGTGACGCTTTCTTATTCGGGGCCCTGGACCGACCAGCCCCCCCTCTGGCTTGACCGGCCGTGGGCTTGCGAGGTTTCACTACAACGCCGCGCTGGGTGCCTTCCGTCCGAAGGGCCGCTGGCAAAGCGCGGCGGCGCTGCTGGAGCAGATGGAGGCGAGAGGCTCACCTTGTTATAACCTGGGTGTTTGCTCTGTTGTTTTTTTCTCGGTGGAGATGCAATCCCAAGTGGGAACCCTGCTGGTTCTCATGAACTGGTTGTGGTTGTGAGCTGCTGGGCTGTCCCTTGATTGCTACCGCCTTGGTTAACACCAGGTTCCCCAGTGGCTCACCAGGTTCCGAACCGCGGAGCCACCAGAAATGGGATCAACCTCAGCGTTCCAAGTCTGCTTCTGCCACACAGGGCAAGTGGGACTTGCGGGCCCCTTGACGAAAGACCCCCGCTCATTGCCTTCCGGCCCAGGCTCTGAGAACAAGTATCGGAAACTGTGACCCGACCTGACTACACATGGCCATTCTCTCACTTCCTGAGTTCATGATCTTTAAACTTTTTGGGAAGACCATTTTAGTCGTAAATATAAAGTTTGAACTTTTTTGGGGCCATCCACTCAGCAAGTGAGTTCTAGATCCTGGTCCTTTTGTTGATGACATGTCAGCCGCAGAAACATGGACCCTCGTCTCGTGCCATATTTTGGGACTCGAAGGCCGCGAGGAGATTTTGGACAGCACCTTAGGGCAAGGCCAAGGTTGGCGTGGAATCACTTCACATTTCGGAAGTCCACTAAATACAGCCAGAGGCACTTTACATGTTTGGTTCAGGGCAAGCGTGTGTCATTGACCGAACCCAAAAGGTGCCTTGTTGGCTAGCAAGCATTTACGAGGATAGCGCAGCGCAATCGACATGCAAAGAGTCGATCAGGGTCCTAAATGATTGCCTCAGTCATCACCGTCAACAGAAGCCCACTTCGATGTTTGAACCACCTTTTGAGAAGAATTGGAGTCGGAAACCCTGTCGATGATTGCAGCATGAGTGCGTCTTTGCCCACTCGCTGACCCAACTGTGCGATTGCGTTGGATTGGTGGCTGGGTGCCCTGATATGTCAAATGGGGCCCCTCGAAACTACACTCCCTCCCAACATGGAAGCTTCCCCACTTGGCCTCCAGTAAATGGAACGTACCAAGTCTTGCAAAGGGATCCTGGAGAGCTTCCATGCTGGAGCATAGGTGGTTTGCTTAACAAAAATAGAGGGCCCTGGTGTAGATGGGGTTTATTCCATTAGCCATCTATTTTTCCAAAAGGCCACCTGGTCTGGAGGGTATATGCTTTGTCGCACCTTTGCTTTTCCGCTTCCGCCTTCTCGAGGCGGACATGGAGCCCAGCCTGGTGAGTCGGGGCCACAGCCGCTGAGTGATGTCGGCTACTGTGTTGTGGTAATGGGGGACTCGAGGTTGTGGAGGATTCCGCCAAGTTCCCATCTTTCTTCATTTAGTTGTACACCTAAACCCAAGTCAACATCTTGTGCCCGTTTTTCCCGCTTTTTGGTTCTTCAGCCAACCTCCAAGTTGGGCAGGGCTCCCTACATTTCCCCTTTTTGGTGGTTTTAAACATCACCTTGTTGGCCCATGAAAGGTGGGTGTTTTTTGTTGGGAGTGATGTTATAGGGGGAAACAAAAATCGGGGGCCCTGTTGGGTGAGGCCTCAACTCCCTGCTGGGCGCCATGGCCGCCTCGACTTCCGTCTGGCAAAGGGCGGGGCTGGTCCTGGACCGCAGCCGCCACCTGCGGCTGCCGCCGGACTCCTTCAGCGCCTCGGCCTCCGCGAGGAGTTGGGTGCCGCGAACCGGGGCCGGTTCTCGCGCGCAGCTTGTGGCCAGACCCCAAAGGGCAACGGAAACACCATTATTCATCGATGAATTATGGGGGCTGGGGGGGGGGGGGCGATAAGCCCTAAATAAGATCAGGGCTTAATAAGGTTTCTCTTTTTTGGGCTCCCCATGACACCAGGTTTATTGGGTCGCGGGTAGATCCTTTTTGTTTGGAGGTCCAGTAGCGAGCAGTGAAACATGATCGTGGACTGTCAGGAATTCCTAAGCCTCATGGAACAGTTCCGCAGGTCCTTTTGTTCGAAGCTTCCAGCGCTTTCATGGCACAAATATGCAGATGGCCTGCTGTTGCCCTGGCTGTCTGTAATCTTCCATTGACCAAGAAGTGTTACGCTGCCTCACATGTCACCTTTGGAGGTATACCGGGCGAGGGGGGGGGGACTTTCCCCTGAAGGGACCGATTTGCCTCTTGCATGCCTGAGTCACATGTGCTGAAACCTGGCTGGGATGCAACGGGCTGCGAAAGTGCTTGGAGTACAACATGGTAGCCGTTTTTTCTGGGCAAATGGTCGGGACCTTTCTACATTTTACTACGAACTAAGTCATGCATCGACGGCGATGCATCTGAAGGTTTGGGAGTGAGGTACTGCCAGACCCCGCAGCCTTCCACATGATGTCACCATTTGGGTGTGGCTTTTTTGAGGGTACCCCTTTTTGTTCTGGTATCAAGGGAAACGAAACAGAAAACCGTTGCGCCATTTTGGGGCTCCAACTCCTAAAGAAGGAACCAGACCTATGATGAACGCTCCCCGCTGGCAAAAGCTAAGATGTGAGCCACTGTGCTTCTCAGCTTCTATTTACTTAGAACATGGAGGCCCAAACGCCATCATTTCAGGAAACGGCTGTTGGGAGATGGATCCTTTTTGGGTTCCACGTGAAAGAATTGCAGGGGAGCTTTGGCCAGACTCAGGCTGGTTCGTCGGCATCTGTAGTACAGGTGTCGTTCACCGTCGTTCTGCGCGCCCGCCGTGCCAGCTCACTGGTTTGCATGTGCCATGCTCATGCGCCTGATCAATCAGAGGCTTTGGTGCATTTTGCCGAGGGATGTTAGGGCATTAACTTTTTGCCAGCGAGCGGGTTTTCCATGAAACCACTAAAAGTTATTCACTTTTAGCACGGGAGCAGAAAGAAGCCGAGCAACTGTCATTATTGCGTTCAAACGCCCTTGGTGGTAGGCCGCTACTAAATTGTCATGGGCCCTTTGGCAGAACAGAGGAGCACGTTCACTGGTTGCGAGCTCCGAGGGGAGCAGAAAGCAACCGAGGATGGGTATTGGTCAAACTGAAGGGATTCTCGGCCTCGCGCCCAGCGACCGGATCAGCTCGCTGTGAGGTTGTACAGATGCAATGCACGCCTGCCAGCGCACGTGGCTTGGAGAGGTTCAGAGGCGCTTGGGGTTGAGACTAGGTGGTATTCTTGGCAGCTGGAACCCCCCAACATGTGTTCTTTGAAGCCCAAAAGCCTGCAAAAAACAAAATCTTGGATAGGTTGTTGATAGTGTGGTGCAAAGAAGCGTCAACAAAAAGCGAACTTACCTTACAAGCTTGGGTCTCGTGTTCGGGGAAACCTGCAGCTCCGGTCGGTCTAGTCAAAGGAAGTTTAGAAGGAACTCCCGCCAACACGGAACACAAATCGGGGGCCGTCCGTAATTGCATGTCTGAAGCTTATGAACAGCGGCAACTTGTTGAACCGCCTGATTGGCAAAACTTGAGCCGCGAAAGGCCGGCGATGTCGAAATTTGTGTGGCAGGCGCAGCTGTTTCACGAGGCCAAGTGCAGATGTGGGGGCAAGCGCATCTCGCAAGGTCAGGCACAGATTTCGTGGCACGCGCAGCACTTTCAGACGTTAGATGAATAGATTCACGGGTGGATAGAAAACTAGTTAGAATGATGGATCGATAATAGATAGATATAAAGGTAGATCGATAGTAGGTGGATAGATAGAATGATGTGCAGGGCGGTGGGCGCATATGTATATATATATATACACGTTGTTTTTAAGATCTACAAAGACAGATAGACAGACATATAGGTAGCTGGATCTGCCGGATAAATGGACAGACAGACGAGAAAACAAGATACATGCAGAGGTTGGTAGGTAGATTGGTGGATGGGTGCTCGCAAGATGGGTAGGCAATTACATGTCCAAAAAGATTGATAGACAGATCGGCAGGCATGGCATCTTTTCCATCCCGGCTTTTGGTCAGCAGGAGTTCCTTGAGCCGCTCTTCTGGACATCTTTTCCATTTCGGCTTTTGACCCGAGGTTGGCCCCGGCTTCTTGGCCCCAGGTTGGCCCGGCTTCTTTCTAGACTTCCCTGTTCCCTGTAGCTCAGCTCGTTTCACCTTTTTTTTGCATCTCGGCATTTTTCACCTCTCTTCTGGACATCTCTTCTATCTCGACCAGGAGGTTGTTTTCTTTCTAGGCGGCCCTCTGGGTCAGCTCGCTTCACCCCTTTCCTGGACATCTTTTTCATCTAGTTTTTTGTCTGGATCAGCCTTTCGAGGTTGGTTCTGTCTTCTTTCTAGCCTCTCCTGATTCAGCTCCTTCTGGACATCTTTCCATCCCGGCTTCTGACCGGGAGGTTGGTCCCGTCTTCTTTCTAGAATTAACTCTGGGTTGGTGCCCTAATGCTTTTCTGGACATTGTTTCCATCTTGTTCCAGCTTCTTTCTAGAAGTTCTTGCACCTCTCTTTTACACATGTTCTCCATCTCAGCTTTTGACCGGGAGGGCTTTTTTTTTGCGATTTCCCTTTGAGCCAGCACTCTTCAAATGTCTTCCAGGCATCTATATCGGCTTTTGACGGGCTGGTTGGTCCTCACCTTTTTTCTGGGCGTCTTTTCCATCTCGGCTTGTGACCGCATGCTCGCATCTCTCCACCGCGGCTTTTGACGAGGACGTTGGCGTATCTTCTTACTAGAGTCCCCTTCTCTTTCACCCCTCTTCCGGACATCTTTCCCATCTTTGCGACGCCCCTTCTTCTTTTTAGACTTCCCGTTTGGAGCTTTTGACCAGGACGTTGGCTGCAAAAAGGGCCGAATTGCCAGGCTCTTCTTTCCCGTCGCCTGCATGGCAATAGCCGTTATGATATTCTGCTTCCCAGCCCCAAAACATGCCCGGAAGCACCCCAGGTCAGCATGATGGTTTGCCGTGCTCAAGGTAGTTGCGAACAGCTGCTCCAAGATTTGGCTCGAGCTTTTGTTCTCACGGGTGGTGCTCGTCTAGACTTTCCTCTGCGTCAGCTCTCCTTACCTCTCGGGTGCGTCCCGTCTTATTTCTGGACTATGCGTCATCTTCACCTCTCTCCTACCACAACAATGTCCAGATCCGCCTCTTTGCTGGACATCCTTTCTTTTGACACACTCTGCATCATCTCTCTTTACCTCTAAACATCAGCTTTTGACCTCGCATCCTCTTTCCGGTCGTCTGTCTGGGTCAGCTTTTGGCAGAAGGTTGGTTACCTCTGCTTTCGAGGCTTCCCTCTGACTCAGCTCTCTTCACCTTTCTTCTGGGCATTCTTTCCATCTTGGCTTTGGGCTGGGAAGTTCGCCCGTCTTCTTCTAGACTTTTCTGACAGTCCTCTTTTTTTGCATTTGCTGAGAATTTGGCCCGTCGCCTTTCTGGGAGTCCCCTTTGGGTCAGCTCTCTTCGCCTCGCTTGTCTATCTTAGCTTTGGACTGGGAGGTCCTGTCTTTTTGCCGCTTAGGCGCTTCCTTAGATCCTATCAGCTTTTCCATCTCGGCTTTTGAATCGGAGTTTTTCTTCTTTCTAGAGTTCACTCTGGGCTAGCCCTCTTCACCTCTGCTTGTCCATTGGTCCTTCTCTTCTCTTCCCTCTGGGTTCGCCTCTCTTCTTGTACAGTCTTCTTCAAGGTTGAGTTGAGCCTAGGACGCAGACCCTGATAAGGAGTTTTGCAATGTATGAAATTTTAAAACATTTAAACCAAATTACGTGTGAATGAAGCCATCCGCTATAATAAAGATGGCAAGGTCCGGCGTTTGGAGGGCCGCTTCGTGGTGCACGTTTCTACCGTCCAAGCAGCGCGGGACGGCCTTGTACCTGCAAGGGGTGTTTCGAACGCGTAACTTGAAGGAGGGGTTGCAAGGCACATCAAGACTTGTTTGTAGCACTGACACATGCGGCTGCACGGCCAGGCGTGGGCAAGGTTGCCTGGTACATCCTTTTTGGACAGAGAGAAGCTCTGGATGACCTTCACGCACGCGGGTTGTCAAAAAGAAGCAAGCAGCTGCTCAACACACCGTGTCTCGTGAAGGACATCGAAGATCTCGCGTAGGCCCCTCATATACATGAAGAGGATGGCGACTTCTCATACCGTTTTTGATGGCTTTAGTTGATTCGAGACATGGCATCGTGCCGAACTACTGTCAGAGTCCTACGTGCTGGCAGGAGGCCACATGCCGACCTTGCGACGGAACTTTGGACCTCAACCAGCTCCCCAAGCACTACTACGCGCGGAATAGCGTCGTTCTGCAAGTGGCGGGCACGAGAGCTTCAAAGAGCAACCGGGCTTCAATAGCTTGGCGCTAAGCGTCCCTTAAGCGCTTTTTGTTTCCATATCTCAAGCAGTGCTCAGGTGGGACTCAAGATGCAGCACGCTGCACAAGCAAGAAGCCACCGCAGACGAGGTGTACGGCTTGAGCATGGCAATCCCTGGAATCGGTCCGTGCGTCGCAGAAAGCGTGGCCGAGGTTGTTCATGAAGCTGGCCACTTGGGCCGTCAGCGGTCGACGTCGCCGGCAAGAGCTTCAAGCTGACGCCTCCTTGGCTGCGGGTCCTTCAGCGCTCCTGCTGCAAAGGCTTGCAGCTGGCGAAGACCGCGCCTTGCCATTGCGGCTGTTGCAGGCAGGGTGCATCTTAGAAGCGGGTCAAAGGAATGCACTCATGCATCCATGGACCGGCCCATTTGCAAGTTCACAAACTCCATCCAACATCTTGGCAGTGTATTGCGGTGTATGGCGTAGCGAATATGAGTGCCTGACAAGTTTACCGACAAAGGACTTAAAGTAAAACTGGAATTTGCCAACCATTTAGTCTGCGTTGTTCAAAGAACATATTATGTCTGGGTTGAGTTCTTGTATGACGTGGGGTGGCGTGATGCGATGGATGTGACATGGTCAATGGTGGCAGTGTGATGTGTTGTTATGTGGTGTGATGTGATGGGATGTTTGCTGGTGTGACCTGGTGTGGTGTGACATGATGTAATCTGACGTGAACCCCTGTGGCATGACCTGGCAGGCCAATGAAAATTTGGCCAGCAACAGATACAGTCGGTTGCCCGTTCGTTGGAGCGAGTTGAGTAGCCGAACTTTTCCGGGAGAGCTCATCTACTCCATGCGCTGCCATCCTCCTTGCGACACATCTGTTCGTTGACGAAATGTATGACGGATGCAGCCAAATGGCCGACGCCTTCCTGGAAGACTATGTTGTGGTGAGGACGGTTGGCGCGCGAAAGTTGCCAGTTGCAACGGAGCTTTGGCCATGGTGCCGTGATAGGGCTCCTCCGGAAGAACACCAAGGAAGAGAAGATCTTCTTTTTTTTCTCCTGAAGCCCTGGCGCTCGGATATGTGTGCTCCTCAGACGACCACCTGCAAGGCTCCAGGTAAATACACTACATACATTCAGCCCAAGTGCCTTTCGATTACTGAACATGCAGTAGAAGTGAGGACATGTTTGTTATGCCCAGGCTGCTGGGGCCCAGGTGTCTTTTTGCAATTAAGTTGTCCTCCGTGTTATGGACAATAGCTGTAGCTAGTCTTGTGCTCAGAAGATGGGATGAGGAAAGAATGCCATAGATGGCTCGGAGCAAGATGGATAGATGGATTGAGAGCCGGACAAGTTGATTGCTATAGGTAGAAATTTAGACAGATAGATAGGTTCGAAAGATTAGATAGCTAGCCAGGTAGATAGATAGATAGGTAAGTGGAGGGTAGATTCATAGATAGCTAGCAAGGTAGATAGATGCATGCTGGTAGGTGCATAGCTGGGTATTGATTGGTTGGTTAATTGGCTGATATTGCTTGGTTTGCTTTGGTTTGATTGATTGACTGATCGATTTGATTGATTGACTGATTGATTGGTTAATTGATTGATTGATCACGAAAGCCAGCCTCCTTTGGAGGCTTAGGCTGAGTTCAGTTTAGGCGAACGAAGTGAGTAATAGGGGGGTGCGGGCGGGGAGGACGGCCATACTAGAGGAGATTTGCCGCGTCCAATTTTAGCAGTTTTTGGGCACCTGGCGGGGGATGGGCTTCCTGGGAGTGGGGGATGCTGGGTCCTGGGTTGGTGATCGGAGGCTCTTTTTGGGATTTCCCGCGTCCAATTTCAGCACTTTTTGGGGCGGGGATGTCAAGAATGCCGGCCGCTGAAGTGAAAGTGCCCAGCATCCCCAGCCCGCTCCAAAGGCACGTTAAGAACTCTTAACAGTGCTATCAAAGTTCAGCACTTCCAGGCTGCCCTGGGCATCCTTGTTGTTCTACAAACTACTCAGTCTTCAGAGGCTCTTTTTGGGCCGTGCTTCGGGTATACGAAGGGGGATTTCCCGCGTCCAATTTCAGCACTTTTTGGGGCGGGGATGTCAAGAATGCCGGCCGCTGAAGTGAAAATGCCCAGCATCCCCAGCCCGCTCCAAAGGCACGTTAAGCACTCTTAACGGTGCTATTCAAGTTCAGCACAGCCTGCTCACCTTGTCCAATTTCAGCACTTTTTGGGGCGGGGATGTCAAGAATGCCGGCCGCTGAAGTGAAAGTGCCCAGCATCCCCAGCCCGCTCCAAAGGCGTTAAGAACTCTTAACGGTGCTATTCAAGTTCAGCATAGCCTGCTCACCTTTCCAGGCGGCCCTGGGCATCCTTGTTGTCCTACAAACTACTCAGTCTTTCTCAGCACTCGTGGACCGGATTCTTCCAACGACGTCCCGCTTGCTCCCTCGTGGTGGGAGAGGATTTTTTGGGCCGTGCTTCGGGCATACGAAGGGGGATTTCCCGCCTCCAATTTCAGCCCTTTTGGGGCGGGGATGTCAAGACTGCCGGCCGCTGAAGTGAAAGTTCCCAGCATCCCCAGCCCGCTCCAAAGGCACGTTAAGAACTCTTAACGGTGCTATTCAAAATCAGCATAGCCTGATCCGCTTTCCAGGTGGCTCTGGGCAGGGGGTTGGGCTTCCTGGATGGAGTGGCCTGGGGATGCTGGGGATGTCAGGCTCCGGGTCCTGCATTCTCGACGCTTCCCTTTCGAGGGGGTTGGTGCTGCTGGGACGCACAGGGCGCTTTCCCGCGCTGAAGGGCACTAACAAGCTGGCTTTCGTGCGCTTCATTCTCAGGTTGATTGATTGATTGATTGGTTGGTTGGTTGGTTGGTTGATTGATTGATTGATTGATTGATTGATTGATTGATTGATTGATTGATTGATTGATTGATTGACTGGTTGGTTGGTTGGTTGGTTGGTTGGTTGGTTGGTTGTTTCTTTGGTTGGTTGGCTGATTGGTTGATAGGGTGATGAAGCTTGAGAGGTACAGGAGGGTTAAGCGATAAAGAGATACATGGATAGAAAGATTTACAAATAGCGTAATAGAGAGATAGACAGAGAGTTGCATAGTCAGTTGATGAATATTCGTAGGTATGTAGGTAGACAGATAGATTTATTGGTGGCTCTGGTGTGCAACCGGATTCCCGCCCATCCCCGCACGACTAGGCCTCGCCAATAGCAATTCGCAGTCGGGCCGGCAAAGCCGGTTGGCGGAAGTTCCAATCATGTAAGAACTATACTTATCTTCCTCTTTCTCTGTCTCTTGCTCTTCTTTATCTTTTTCTTTATATTTCTCGTTTTCTTTCTCTTTATCCTTTTCTTTTTCTTCTTAATCGTCCTCTTTGGCTTTTCTCTGTTTCTTTCACCTGAAAAGGATTCCTTGTGAAAATGGGTTCCTTCTTTGAGAGCGCGAAAGGGGCGCTAAACGGAGTAAACCTTGACATGCCGCCTAAATGGCCTGGCTACCAACCCACTTGATGTGTAAGGGGCATGGGCCGGAGCCAGCGCCAAGCTGAGGCGCCAGTGGCGGCGGATTGTGCACTTGCTGCTGTCCTTGGAAGGCAGCAAGGCGTCGCACGATGCGTTGGGCGACGTTGGGCGGGGGAAGGGGCATCCCCAGACGCAGCGCAGCAGCATGAGGGAAACAATAAAATACCAGGCCGGTTGAAGTAGAACTCGGCTGTTTTGAACAAACCGTGACTTTCTTCATGCTAAACCACAAAGCTGATGAAGCCTGGAGACATTGCCCTCGAACCAAGCACCAGCGCCGCAGAAACACCAGCACACAAATTTAGCCCCAAGCACGAGAAATGACAACCAGCCCACGGTGACTGCGATTTTCTCCGCACCACGCAGCAGCAACATCCACCAAGAACATATCAGCGAGACTGGCCTGTCGGCAAAGCAGCAATCTACTTTATGTTCATACTGGTAATTGCACCTTGAGAACTGCCTACTTTACAATGGAGCTTTGAATTGCAGCACCCTCGCGCAGCGAGAAGCAAGATGTGCTAAAGATGCACTCTAAGCTCAACAACGCCAAGTAAGAAACAGAACAGCGGGGGGCAAGGGGTACGATTTTTTATTCTTATCTCTCGGTCGGGTCTACTTGGGTTGGCAAGTCTTAAGGCAAAATCCACCGACAAGCCGCCATGACAACCGGCGAAGGAGGTGCACGACAAACATCGCCTGTCGTTATAGGACCCACGGACAAGTGCTCCCATGGTTTGTGGGGTTTTCAAGAAAGACTGTTCATGACATGCACCTGGGTTACGTCTTGGGTTTCAGCCGGCATGTGCCACTTGATGGCTGCACCCTGTAGCTGTCAAAGAGATCAGGGCCAGCTGAGTAGGCCTCTCATGTGCTTCGTCCTGACACGATTCTCGCAGCGTGGTTGGGCTCCTGTTCTGTGTCCGATCAGCGGGTTGTTGCTCCAGGGTGGTTCTTTATTTGAGCAAGAATGCAAGATGCAAGGCGTGAGGAGCCGCACATTCTGGGCAGAGCTTCTGGGGCATGCCTGCAGGACCTCCTTTCTCCACTCTCCGAGAGCGACCACCCAAGAATTCTGAGTGCCCAGTCGTTGTTCTGAGTTCAAGCATGGCCCCGGTCCATGCAGCCCAGAGGCCGAGCTGAACATGCTCAACTTTAACGGGGCAATTTGCAACATCGCCAAGGACAGCTTGTCTGAGGGGCTCACCGAATCAAACCCTCCTGCAAGCCACAGGGCCGGACCCCAAAACAGGTTGCAGTCCGCGGCTGGCGTATTTGGAACAGAGTCTTGTTAACAAAAACTTTTTGCCAGCTATAGTCAGCGAGATTTATCTAAGCTTAGCTTACCATTGGTTGCGAAGGCGCCTTGGTTTCATGGAATCTCCGGTTGTGAGGTTTCACTTTGACAGATTGCATCTGCCAAAGAACCAAAGGTTTGTGAGGCTAGGGGCCAGCCAGCCGCTTCGCTCAGCTAGGACCTCTTACCCTCAAGAAAATCGCGGACCCCTTAGCGCCTCGGCTCGTGCCATTTTTGGTTTCCTTCGGTGGGGGTGGCTTTTTGATGGTATTCCCAAGCGAAGGGGCAGATCAGTCGCTGAGTTTCGGAGCGCCAGGACCAGTGGCGCGTGAGCGTGGGCCTCTTGCAGTCCATGGAATGGCGACACGTGCGCCGCGGCGACACGTGGGAAGGGCGACCTATGGGTGCAACTACGTCAGAGGTGTTGCATGATATGAATTTCAACCTGGCTTCAGTTTATGAATGGGGGGGTGCTTCAGACAACTTCCTTCTGGCTTTAGCGGGGAATCAGACCGCTTTTGGAGGGCCCCCCCACCCCGCCCCTATGAAGAAGCTGGGGTTGATTAATACGGGGTCAACATTACAGATGCAGAATGCAAGCGACTAGATTATGTCTCGCTGCTTCTATCTAGTTGGTTACAGAAATTAGCTCCCTTAGATCCGTTGCGAGATGTAGCTGACGGGTGTTGAACGAATCGCCGGGTCCCGGCATCCAGGGTTAGGGCCAAATTGATCTGGGGAACCCAAACTAAGCGCGGAACCCCGCCAAAAGGCCCCAATTGCGACACTTGCGCTCCAAGGGTTCCAGTCGGGTTCTATGTTAGTGGGCGACAGGCGGGTTAGTTGTGTGCTATTTTGATGTGGCTGAGAACGGCGGTTTTTGCAGCGCGAAAGTGCGGAATCAAACGAAAATGCCAAAGTCAAGCAATCAAGGCCAGACGACACTTTCAGAAATTGCAGCCTTGAGAAAACACCTGAGAAAGACGACAGAACATGATCCTGGCCAGCAAGAAAAAGTGTCGGCAGAAAGCTCATAGCCTCAGATGGACATTCACTCCTGGGCACCTGGCAACCTCACCAGGGGTTGCGGCTTTTCATGAGGTTTCCTCGCATATTAGTTTGATGAACTTGCGGCCAGCGCGGGTGCTCGTTCTCGTGGCTCCGCGTTCCTAAGAAAGGGGCCGAAAGATGTTTGGGTCAAGGGAAGCCGCAAGGAAACCGAACAGAAGATTTAAGGAAACCAACTAATGAACCTTATCAAAATCAGAAGGTTTAAGGAAACCAAACAATGACACTTACCAGCTCCAGAGGCCCAGCGACGCGGCGCTGCGCGCGGCAGCGCGGAAGGGACTTCCTTGGGCACAGGCTTTAGCGGCGGCAGAGGCCGGGGCCCAGGTCTTTTATTTTGCAGCATGTGTTTTCTACCCCCTGTTGGTTTTGAAGGGAATCGGTTGAAATGATTATGTTACGTTCCATGTTTTTTTTTTATTACTCACCAGTTGGTTTTAAAGGGAATCGATTTCACAGCTGGACATATTTTCGTTTTTTTTTCCAGGGGTCTTAACCAAATGGAAGATGTCCACCGTGCTGCAAGCGGAGGATGGAAGCGCTTGGGAGGACCACACGCAAGCATGTTCGATGGCTGGTGGAGAAAGGGTTGTGTTCGAATCCCACGTGCCAGAACGTCTCCCGATTTCCCTGGGCAACCGCGGAATTTGGCCTAAATCAAGAGCGCCAGCTCCGGAAAAACCTAATCTTTTTGGAGGGAAAGCTGGATGCTCCGAGGTACACAATTTCTGTCATGTTGCCGCACTGCAGAAATGTCCGCCGTTTCATCAAATCTCTGCTGTTTTCGTCGAAACTTGCTTTTTGGTGAATTTGCTCGAATTCCCCTGAATGTTGACAATGCTGTTTTGCATCCTTGCCCGGCGGGCGCAGAAAAGACACATTGAAGGCTGCATCTGCAGCCTGACGCTCCAAAAAGAACAACAAAACACTTTGCATCAAAGTTTGCCGTTTCAATTTTAAGACGTGGTTGGTGCTGTGAATTCATACCCCTTCTGGAAGATGCAGATGTAACTTTCCCGAGCTGGACTGTACCATTTGACGTTTGAGGCTGCCCCAGGTTGCATTGTAGGATGTGCAGCCTGTGTAGGCTAGATCCTGCATGGTTGTTTTTCGGTCAGTTTCTGCACCCCCCAGTTTCATGTACTTCACACTGTTTATGCGGTCGATTTTATGGCAAGCAGCAAGTTTAGACATGGGGCTCATCCACGAAAGTGGGACTGAACCATGGGCAAGCCTGTTTCTATCCTGCAAGGGGGTTGCACGCTGAGGACCTCCATTGGCTTTTTCACGCAGCCTTGAAAGGCAAGCCTGGAGATTCGAACGTTTTTTCCCTAAGGATCTACCGTCAAAACCGAAAAAGCCACGCAAGAGACGGGCGGGTTCCTATGAGGTCCAGTGCCGGGCGGGTTCCACGTGGCTGTCATAACTCACTCCTCGGCTGTGCAGCCCTTGAGAAAAGTGCACAGCCTCTTTGTTTTACACGTAGTTGAAGGACTTTCATGTGCGTTTCAGACTCTTGTGTATGTCCCCCTGTTGTTTTTAGAGGGAATCTACCACCACTGACTTAAGATGGCACTTCGAGTCCACTTGGTGCAAAGATCGGGGAATCCTTCGTGATGCTTTGGAGCGACTCGCGGTCTCAATCTCCAGCCCTTGGCCTCCAAAGCGATTCGGATCTCTAGCAGTGACCAGTGCTACAGTTGGTTCGCAGTTGCGTGCTCTTGAATTCCGACCTTCATAACATGTTTGTCCTTCTTCAAACATACATTTTCCTTGTGCTTCCTTGTTAGCAGACAGTTGCACAGTGGCAGTCTGACAAGTGACAAGTGTAACCCCTGCCATTTCTTGGAAGGGCCGCCCACGAAGCATGTTGGGCCCAGGTCTGCGGTTATTTTTTTGGGCAGACGTGTGCCTTAGGATGCAGCAGCGCTCGGTCATCTCAGCTCAGGCGGGCAAATGCGAGCGCCTTCCCGGGCTCAAATACGGAATGAGGGCAGTGAATCCTACTGATGGACGGAATCCATTTCGCACCAGGGGGAAACCATGGTTGTAACTCCACAGCGTAGGTCGGTATTATGGTTTTAGAGGGGAAACACATTTCCAGGGTTCCGGGACGGTGCAGGAGTTCGTCATCCACATCCAGAGTAGGTCCCTTAAAAGGGAACAGTTTGACAGGCTCTCGAAATCTGTTTTGCCCGGAAAGTCCCTTGAAACAAGCAAAATTAGAGTAAGTTGACGAGGTCAGCACAGGACCCCGCAAGCGCACAAAAGTTATAGAGGGCGCATGTACAAAGGGCAAAGAGCACTGTGTTCCAGGTGTACATTTCGTTTTCCATGCTTGGTAATGGGAGGACAACGCCGAATGACATCCATTGCGGTGTTTGTTCTTGCGGGTGCATTGCGGGCTAATTTGTTTGCGTTCGGGCCGACCGTCCGAACTTTTCACTTTGGCTTCCCAATTGCACATGGTGCTGCTGTCCATGGTTTCATGTAAGTGGCTTTAATTTATGGAGCGGTTGCTGTCAATTTGGAGATGTTCGCTTGCAAATGCCCTTCTAAGACATGTTTACAAATTTGACCTGGGTCAATAAACCTGGTCTACTGGTAAGGCGGGGTGAATCTTACAGAGGTGAAGGATTCCCACTGCAAAGTCCATCCTGCATGAAAGAGTTTGCCGCTTCTGGCCGATGCTAAAGCAAGCAACCAGCCCAAGGAGGCTGGGGAGTACCATCAACGCGAGGCCTGCGAAAGCAGGGATGCTGGAGATCCCTCCCTTCTCCCATGGCCTTTTGCTGATCTTCCTCCCCGAGTTTCTGGGACTTTTCGTCACTTTTGGGTGTGGAAACTTGCGCCGCTTGATGCTGGAAATCACATCCTAAAAGTTGGCGGGTGAATCTGAGTTTGGGAAAGCTGGACATTTCGTCTGCCGGCTGGGCATGCGGCTCCGAAGGGGAAAGCTTCACAGGCAGCTTGTTTGGATTCAAAATTCAGACCTTTGCCAACTTGCGCGCCCTTTGGATCGTGCATGGCTCACATGGCTGTGGCTCAAAAAAATGGTTCCAAAATAGCACCTTGGTAAATGCAACCCAGGGCTAAACCTGCGTAACCCTAGCTCTTTACTTGGTGGCTCCCAGCCATCCCGTTCCTTAGCTTGCTAGATCCTTTTACTGTTTAGTGGTAGTTTCTCCATTCATCCCACTGAAAGTTATCCAGCAAGCAATGGACAGGCCGGCAAGCTAACCGGGCAGCATGGGGTCACTAAAAGTTTCACTTTTAGTGTTTAGTGGTAGTTTCCTTTTTAACCCACTAAAAGTGAAACCCCTTTGTGCGCCACACCGCCCTTTTGTGCCACACCCCCATTTAACTTTTGAGCCACACCCGGGATCTGAGGGCCAGATGAGCCACACCCGACATCTTGCCGGCGCCAGCCAGGCGCCGGCACGTGGGATCGCTGCCTGGCCTTGCTGCAGCGGCTTGGAGCCAGCCGCTGCCATGGCGCCGGCGTGCTAACGCCAGGTGACCAAACGCGGGACGCGTATGGGAGGTGTCCAATTTGTATATAGGTTGGCTTGGTTGAAAAGTGGATGGCGCGGTGTTTGTTCCACTTGCCAGGGCTCCATCTATTTGTCCAAAAGGCCACCTAGTGGGTGTGTCTTTTTTGGAGAAGCTGCCATTATGTTGCGTGTGTTTGCTTTGCTTTTTTCTAGGGATCCAAAGGAAATCACCCATTATGGGGCATTATCCATGTCTTCAAATGGTAACGCGTTTGCCCGTTGTTTTCCTGAATGCCAACCAAAAGAGGAGTCCACCAGTTTAAGAATCTCACAGACAGCCTTTGCTTTTTGAAGAACTTCCGTTTAGCTTGCCGCTTTTGTGGGTTCCATGTAATTTGCAGGGGCTGTTTCCCAGTTGCCCAGTAGCACCCTTCAATTTTCTGTTCACTCGGTAGCCGTGCGTTGTTTCCAGGCACGGTAGCCATGCTGCGAAATGTAAAGATGGGTCTTGCAACTATTGTGTGCAGGGAATCTGCTGGCCTGTCATCCACTCACACTGGACAAAAACGTGCTTCTGCTCAGAACAAGACGTTTTTGGTGGATTTAGGAGGCATCTAACCTTTGCAGGGCTAAATTGTGAGGCACGGTGACTGCGAGAATATGTTGCCCAAAATTCAAAATGGGGTCGCCTACCAGGAGTTTCCGAAAAATGGCATGAAGTGTTGATGTGTTCCATGTTAACCTCCAGCAAAATAACTCCAACTAGGTCCCCCAGTAGTGCCCTTCTACCCTTTTTCGGGGGAGGGTTCCCTTGAAGATAGACTACAGAAAAAAGGGTACCCTTGTTCTAACCTCTCTACTGGAGGACCTAGCCAATCATGTGACGTGGGGCACTCACTAGCAGGGAACCCAACTCCTGAGTCCTGTGAGGCAATTTTCCTCCAAAATAAAATCTCTGGGATGGTTTTGCTTGGGGCGCCGCCCACCACAGCCCGCGACCCTCTCAGAGAATTGAGCAGCAAAAGGCCAGTTCTCATACTTCCTGCCAACTGGGGTGCGGCTGGCTGGAAACCATGCTGCGTTTCATCGATGGGTGCAAGAGAAGAAAGCAATAGAGTGTAACACAGTCAAATGATGGTTCCTTTACGTAACTATATGTATATATATATATATATACATACGATATGCGAATCCGCACGCATGTGTAGTCATGCACATGTTTAATACGCGCAATTGCCTGTGTACCCAATTCCCCCCCACATCCACATCTCCCCATAAATTTCCCCATACATTTCCCCAAATCTTTTTGCACATGGCGTTTGATTTGCCTTAGATGTGCACGCGGAAAGAAATTGGCCCAAGTTTCTTACCACGGCAGACGTGTCGGTGGATGCCTGGGCCGCTGCGCTGAGCCTGGTGCAGGCTCGGGATAGGATGTGGGGGGAGGGGGCGGGGGCGTTGCTCTTGGGGGGGGGGGGGTTTATGGACTTTCGTCATTTTTCTTGGTTTGGACCCTTGTTTGGTGGGAAAGAAGAAGTGGTACACACGAAGTTCAGACTTGTTCTGGCCGATCCACTTCAAGGAAGTGAGTTTGGTGTAGGCGCCCAGGGTTGAGGACCCGAAGGGTCGGTTCCCAGAACAAGTGCTGCTGTATCCCCACCCCCTTAAATCTGGACTTGGGGGAGGGGGGGTGACCCCTGGAATTCCATTTTTGGCTCCATTTCCTTAAAGGGGAAGGCTAGATAACTGGAATTGGAACCCCACCCCCCTCTCCCCCTCTCTGGTAGGGGGGATGCTGCTGTGCTGTGGCCAAAGAGTTGCAATTGAGAACAGCAACTCCAAATTTGCAGTGCCCAGCCCGAGTACTCGACATGTCTGGCGCACTTTCCTGCACCTTGAATTTAACATAATGGGCCTACCCTGAATGTGTTCTCCTGGCCTGAGTAACAAGACAGAAAGATAGCAAGTTTGTCAGAAGCCACCTGAAGGCTTTGAGGACAGGCCAGTGGTTCTTAACAGCCCCGACGAGCAACACAAGGAGCATAGTAGTTTTGTAGTAGGAGGGTGTTCCCTCCAGAAGTGGTCTGAATCCACACTAAAAGGACTTGGACACCCCCGGTTAACATGATTACTAGTCACTATTGGTTACCAGTCGCTGTTCGGTTGACTTGGCTCCATTTCCGCTCCGAGTCAGACGGCAGGCAAGAGCACCGAAGAGGTGCCCTGATGGATTCAAAAGCCAGGATTTTGTTTGAGCCCATTTTGGTAGCTAGTTTTGGGAAGTCAGTGTCTTCCCCCTTAATCCCCGGTGTCAGGATCAAAGATCTCCCGATTTTTAACAACCTATTCAATATCAACAAATACGAAACAACAAAACACGGGTTTTGCATGGGCGACATGGGCTTGGAATGCTTTGGAATTCATTTGGTGTTGCCCTTTGCAGGTTGGTTTAGAGGGAGCCAAAAAAAATATCCCTCCGTGTTTTTGTTTTTTGCCCTAGGCTGGTTTGGATGGAGCCAAAAAAGAAAAAGGACAAAAACACATTGTTTGTTGTTTTGCCCATAGGTTGGTTTGGATGGAGCCCAAAAAGTAATATACCCCCGTGAGTTTTGAGGGGGGTTCCTTTTGCAATGCAAGGTTCCCCGAGACCTCCGGCGCTTGCACTGGCACCTGGCAGTGCGAATCGCGGAGATGGCGGCCTGGCAGGCGCAACCGGTCAGCCAGCTGTCAAGGTTTTGGGGGGGCTACTTGGTTGGATCTGTTTCCTTGGGGATAAAATGGCTACTGGGTTTCCTTGGCTCAAGTTGTGCGTGGCTTTACTTGATTCCAGCGAGCGACTCAATGCATTTGTGCAGATTCCTAGGTTCCTTGTCAAAGTCCAAGGACCTAGCAGCGCGTTGTTTCTCCAAGTCCTTGTCCTCCTAACTTTGACAGGATCTTTTGGTATGGTACTTGGGGCTTGGGGTTTTGCACGTGGGACAAAGTCGCCTTGGCGTACTAGTGGCAAAATGTTTCAGAGCATTCGCATGAACCCCAACCCTTGTTGCGATTGGTGGGCTCCTGTTGTCTTCAGACAACTTGGCTGCATCAGTTGAACCTCATTCACTGGCAGACTCCAAAGCAACCCCTGGACCCTGGGATTGGAAAAACCTTAGGACTTGCCCAGCGGAGGCCCGGTTCCAGAGAGGTCGAGTTGTCCCGCGCTTCTTGGCCCGTGGCTCCCACAGCGCTTCCGTTCGTGGCTCTGCCGCACCGGAACGACTCGCAGGCAAGGAAGCTTCTCGCGCTGTTTGCCTTGACTTAAGGAGAAAAGATCCACCCGGCTGGACAAACCACCAGCTTGAACGCCCACCTCACAAGTCAACGATTCTTTCGCAGGGCACAGCACGCCACGAGCAACCGCGCGCCGCGATTTCCAGCATCCGCTCTCGCGGCCGGGGCGCGGATGGCTCCTGCGCGGCGAGCTCGATGCCTGGCGGTGTGTGTGGCGATCGCTGGGCTCCAGGCCGAGCTGACATAGTCTAGGTCCCTCAGGAGTGCTTATAGGTGTCCTTTTTGGTTTGCAAAAAAAATAGAGGGCCCTGGTTTAGATGGTTTATTCCATTTACCAGGGCCATCTATTCTTCCAAAAGGCCACCTATGGTAGTGCCCTTTTGCCGTTTCTTTTTTGGGGGAGGGTTGCCCTACCAAAATTTAGACTACAGAACAAAAGGTACCCGAATAAAAAGCCTCGCAAAACTGGAGGACCTAGTAGTCAACCTGGTGAGGTTAATGATGACCCCCTATTAATCAACCCCTCCAAAAGTGAACAATCCCCACCAGAACCAGGGGACTCCAAACAAGGGTTTATTAATTAGGGGTTGTTTATTAGGATATGACCGGGCCAAGATGGAGTAGTAGGGGTGGGCTGATCTTGTACCGTGCTGCTTGCCTCAAAAGTGAACACTACCAAAGGAAGCATGATTTCCTGGGGCGGGGATGCCTCCACATTTGTCAGGCCTTGAGCGGCGAACGCACGAAGGCTTTCCAGATGCCTCCCCTCCTTCGCATGTAGGAGTCACGACCCATGTACAGTCACTTCCCTGCAATTTGTGGCACCTCGAAATGTATGGTTATCAATTGATGGAGCGCAAAACTGTGGTCCTCCAACACGGAGATGGTCGGGGCATCGAGTCGTAGCAAGAGGTGTCACATGCATGTAGCCAAATAGTGAGCGCCCATTCGACATCAAGGGCTTCCCTCTAGCTCATGGTCCAGCGAGTCAACAAGACCAAGCACGGCATTGTTTATATATTCTACTATCATTAGTGTAAGTTCCTGCGCCAAAAACAGCTATTATTAGAGACCGTACCAGCATAGCATGGCGGCTAAGACGTACCAGAATATGAGTAATTGTTATGAGAGACGTATCAGCAATATATTATATACATTTGCGAAGGGAAACAAAATGCGGGGCGTCACCTGAAGAGGTGGCCTTCATCAATGGCTTCCAGCCCTTGCGCCCAGCCCCGAGGCTGGGGAGCGAGAGTCACTTGCAGGCCCGTGTCAGGGGATCGGCTGCGGGACATTGACGGTCAATCAGGATGAGTCAAACGTTGGTGGGGTTATATATAAGATATAGTTATTCATATGTAAATATACATATATATATATATGTGTGTGTATATATATAAGTTAATTTCATTATATTCGAGGGTCAATTCGTTTTATTCGGGGGTTGTGTTGGGGAAATTTATGGGCCGATTCTTGCAGTTTGAGGTCACAGCCATGCCGCCCCATGTAACCTGTTAACTTACAATGAAGCACATAAAACTAGCAAATGCGCATTTGCAAATGGAGAACATGATTGAGGTAATTATCGCTTATATACGGTGTGTCTCCAGCCCATGCGGCTAGGTCGAGCAAGTTTGGGCACTTAAGGTTGCTTCGGTCTCTGGCGCCTCAACCGGCTGCTGACTGCTCAGGGGCAAATTACTGCTGCCCAACCAGGCTCTCAGTTTGACACTGTCAAACCTGCAGTCGTCCAGCCACACCATTGCAGTTGAAGACGCTTTTCAAAAACCGCCCACGAGCCAGTCTTCAAGATTTATACTAATTCAATACGCCAACTGCTTGCAGCTGAGAAAAGCAACGGGGTCAAGCAACTTGCTTTACACTTAGCAGTATTTGCAAGCATTGCTTGCGCCAACTTCTTCCTGCGACACGCTGAGATCTAAGGCACAATGAGAATGGGAAGGGTTTGATTCGGGTTCAAAAGCTTTTGCTGCGGGGCGAGTGCCGATGTGATCGGGGCAACTGCTTCAACAAATTTGCTGCAAAGCCAGGCCTACAAGCAGAACTGAACTCCTTCCTGACAATGTTCTAGGATATAAAACCTGCTCAAGACTTTCACGAAGGAACCTTAGCTTTGATCTTTCCCGCACAAAATGCACATAATCCCTTGAGGCACCCCGACCCCTCCCTGAAATCCACAAGTTCGTGCGGGAAGTCACCATCGCCAAGCTCTAGTCCAGCGTTTCCAGCGCATTGGGGCGGATTGAAAGGTCAGGACCATGATTCAAAAATGTTGGCCTGCAACTCCACCCCCTCAAGTTCACAACAACAAGCCGGTCAAGCACATAAAGCGCGACATACTCTTCATGAATCTGTATGCTTCCCCAACAAGTGTGTTGTCCAATGCAGCAAGAGTCAGGCAAAACACTAAGGTTCCAAAAGCTGCCCGATCAATGTGGCGAAAACGTAAATAATAAACAATGAATATAAATATCATAAGTTATCAAGGCACAACCTTTGTCAGCTGGCCGAATCTACCCCCCCCCCCCCCGAGTTGCAACATCTGATGAGGGTGCAGGCCATGGCAAAGATTTAGAGGTTTCAAAGAAGAACCTGGATGACGATGAGTGATTTGGCCACTCGAAGTTGTGGCGCTAGTAGAAACAAATTTCGGGTGCCATTTCGACACCAGAAGCCTGCCACGGGGAAACCTGAAAATGCTGCATTCTCAGTGTCCATGCAAAGTGTCGCTGATTGGCTGCTTTGCTTTGGCTGGGCCTCTTCATGATGCGCGGGTTATAGGTGAAGCAAAGGTACTCCCCATTGTTCACACGCTTCACGCGCAAGTTGAAACACCTCCTACAATTGCGCCAAGCTTTCCGGCGTGTGACACGTGCGCCTACTGCAAACAGGTTTGTGGGAACTGTTTTCTAAAGGTCGGTGTTAATGAGTCAGTTGAGTTGCTTGACGCGCCGCTGAGGACTCTACGTCAAAATTCGAGCGGCCAGGGCCTACACGCGCCGTCTCGATAAAATTGCAGCTGAAAGGAGCTTGGAAGAAATCTTCCGGGCACAGGGTTTGCTTTGGCTTAGAAAGTGTTGCGATGGTCACTCTGCAGCCAAGCGCAGGCCATGAGGCCATTGGACTATCCCTTGCTCCCCTATGCGTTCGCAGGGTTACTTGGCTGTTGCAACAATGCTTGCGTATGATGGCGCCCGGCTTTGGACATGCTGCAATTTTCTCACCCGCAGCACTGTGAGGGTTTCGTGCTTTTACTACGCTGTGTTTGCGCCGCCGCCTCCCGGTTGCTTCTCCTCCCTTCCCGTCTCTTCCGTCCTCGACGCCCTCATTCACTCAGTCTCACCCGCCCACCTATGCTGAGCCACTCGTTCTTTCTGAATCGCCCTCACTCACTCATCGTAACTTCTCACCTACCCATTCGCACTCATTGGCTCTCAGTCGCTCATTCTCAACTAGTCTCACTCTTACATTCCCGCTCCCTCATTCTTGCTCGCTCTTTCTCACTTGACTCACTCATTCTTACTTTGCATTCTTACTCACTCAATCTCATGCGTCTCACTCTTGCTCATTTCCGCTCACTCAGTCTGACTCACTCATGAGTCACGCTCACTCCTTTTCACTCACTCTCCATCGTTCTCACTCCTTCTCACTCATTCTCACTCCTTCTCCTCCACATCACGCATCACCTCCCGTGCCTTTAGCATCGCCTATCCCTTTATTTCCGCACTTGAGCACTGAAAAAAGAGTGGAGGGAAGGAGTGAGCGAGCGAGTGAGTGAGAATGAGTGAGAGTGAGTGAGTTTGAGGCAGAATGAGTGGAAAGCACAAAGATGAGGGATCAGGCGCTGGTTTTGGAAGCGCAGGTACGGAAGTTTCGCACCACTTCTGAAGGGGTACATAATTCCCAACATGCTTACGCGCACAGTTTTGCATCTACGTGTATGTATGCGCTCGCGAAGCATAGCCCAAAAAGGCATCCCTTTACACCAGCCAGCAGAAGGTACAGCGCCCTCAACACAAAGCCGCCTGAGGCCTGAGGCCTGTCCTTGTGAGCCCTGCTGCAACTTCGGCCCAAACTTTCTTTTTGCAACCTTGCCCCTGAAGATCTTTGTACATATCATCAACTCTGGTTTGTTCACTTGGTCAGCGCTCCCTTAGTTCCTGAATGGTTGTTTCCCTCTCTAAACAAAAGACTGGTGAATACTTGGGAGTGGAAAAGGCGACTATTTGGCATCCCTGGCAAGGGCGACGGCTTGGCATCCCTGGGAAAGGCGACGGTTTCGCTTCCCCGCGGAAGGCGATGATTTGACCCAACAAATCGCCAGTCAGAATAAATGCGTCACCTTTTTGGGGTTCTAATCCTGGATTTTGAAAAGGCGACGGTTTGCCTCAAACCATCACCTTCTGCCCCCT